TCATCATTGGGTCCTGAGTGAATGGCCTCTGTTCTGGCCAGCAGGTAGGATGGAGTTGGGACAGTTTAGGTGCTGGTGCAGCAGCAATCTGCAAACTGCTTTGCAAGATGTGGCTTGGTGAGTCCTCAATCACACTGGAGGAGTTCATTTTACATCCTTAGGAGAGAAAAGGCATCTCCTGAGGTGCTGCGTGGCCTCTGTGCATCTTTGCTTCCCACTTGGTGGTGAGCACCCCATCAGAGACACAGCCACCTTAGTGTGCTGCTAGCACAAGGAGTGGAAATTTTCCCAAACTTCTTGTCTGTCTATTAGTAAAATCCTGGGGAGACTTTGTCTTTTCTGCCAAAGGGCCTGCCCATTGAGGAGAATATTAGAGGCTTATTTCTTAATTTTTCTTTTCTGTTATATTTCTGTCTTTTCCACTATTGAGATAACCCACCTCAAACATGCTGTAGTCAGCTAAATAGCTTGACATTTCTATTTATGACACAAATTAATAAAAGTAAAGCTTTGATATTAGCTGTCACCATCTCAATTAAAACAGGCACTGAAAGAGCCAGAGCACTGGTCAGCACCATTTTTAAGGGTTCATTATAAACAAATCTTCCACCAACTTGCTTCAAATCTGGTTGGTAAATCTACTTGCATCCTAGCTTACAGAGACAAATGCCAGATATACAGTGTCAACAGAACTCTGGGCAGGAGTTACAGAGGAGCAGAGCTGCAGTTTTCACAGGAAAGGCTGTCTTTACTCCAAAAAGTCCCTTGCAGGGCTTTGTGCCGTCTGACAATTGTGGATAGCCTTGCTATGATTAGTGCAGAACTTCAGGCTGAAGTACCTTGAGATTGAGGCAGTTTTTGCTTTGTAATTTTGTTTTGTTTGACAGCCTTTGTTGCTGGGACGACTGCTTTGATGACGGCATCGTTGCTTCCTGACCCCTGCCTCGCCCTCCATGGCACAGAGCAGCAGCAGCAGCAGGCTCTGCAGCTCAGGGTTTTGCAGCGTCAGCTCTCAGCACGACTGCGCCTGAGCGGGTATGACTGTGCTGAGGGCTGGCTTTACCCAAAAGTGCCCGCTCAGTTGCACAGGGAGGCACCGGGCACGTTGCAGGGCCTTTTGCATGTCTTTTCTGCTTTATGGTCCAGTGCGTGCCCCTCACACAAAGGGGAGCATCAGGCAAACTGACTACATGCTGTCTTTTGCTATTTCACCGCTATGCAAAACGTGACTGTGCAAGTAGGAAAACGTTGGTCTAAAATAAAACAGAGTAAGCTGTGAGGCAGGTGGGTTTTTGGGTGTGGGGCTGGGCCCCATGTGCAGAGTGCCTGGCCTAGGTTGGCGTCAGTGGGGTGTCAGGGCCCCTTCTCTGCCTTTGCATCAGTCTTATTTGTAAGGCTGCTAAAAATGTTGCTGGAGGGGGAGCCAGCCTGACCTCTGAAAGGAGGGACATCCAGTTCATGCTGATTTGTTCTTGTTTGAGCTCAGCTGCTAGCTTTATTCTTCTGGGCCTTCAACTAACTTTATTAAACATTCAGCTCTCTTTTCCTTCTAAACTCTAAGCTCTGTTTTTAATTTTAGCAATCTATGTACCCATTCATTTAAATGATAGTTCTGCCACTTAAAAAGAAAAGAAAGAAAAATGAATTATAGAGTTGTGCTGCTCACTTGCGAATATCTACAGAGTTCATGTTGAGTTTTTAAAAATCTCTCATAAAATATGTATGGTTATTTGGCATCTGTATCATTTATGGAGTTTGCATAGAGCTTTGTGAGCTGGGATTTCGTCTGAGAAATCTGATTTGTTCCATTTTTGTTTGTGTGTGAGAGTCGAGATGTCGTAACTCTTTTGGCTGGCTAACTTAGAGATGTGAAGTTTGTCATGCAAATACCAGTGTTCCATTTAAAAATGTTTTCTGTAAAAAGTGTATCCCCTAAATCAAAGACGTCTGTGAGTGGCACTTCTGGTAAATCCCTTTGCTACACAGTCTGAAGAGTGAATGCAAAAGGGGAAGGAAGGCAGGCAAAGTATATCTGAGATTTTTTTATGCATCAGTAAGAATTATTGTATATAGTAGCCTCGCTTTAAATTCACTACAGTTTATTTAAATGAAGTGGTATGCAAATAATTGATGGATATTTTAAGGAGTAGCTCTGTCGCAAAGATGTTTTTGAAGCGGTGAGCAGAAATTAGAAGCTATTTTTGGAAATGAAATACAAATTACTGCAAGCATGATGCTAAATGTAGTGGGCTATCCTCATGCTATTTTAGTCATATGCATGCCCCAGTTTGAATCTCTGCAGTGCTGGGGAACCAAAAAAATTGTGAAATGACAAGAAACGTGTCTGAAAAATGCATCCTCCCATAGATGTTGTGAAGTGTGACAGCATGCATATGCCAGGCAGTGCCAGCAGCCATGCCCTGAGCTGCTTTTCTGTCTTTGGGCAAAATGGCACGGTTTGCTTACTTCATGATCACTATTTCCCATTTTTCTTATGATGTGCTGGAGCTCATCCAACATTGTTTTCTGTATGGGTTCATCTGGAAATGACACTGCCCTGCCCACATCCCGTACCCACTACATATCCTGTGCCCTGCTCATGCTGCTGGTTTTATAGGCTGACAGAGTGTCCAAAGTCCAGGTTGGTGAACGATGCCAATCCCATGCATTTTCTTTTCCTACTGTTTCGTGAGGTCTTTCCCTTCACAGGCTTGAGTCAGCTCCTCCAGCCTGAGCTCTGGTGCCCCTGTGTCACCCACCTCATCTTGGGCCTTGTATTTTCCGAGGTGCAGTGTATGATTTCCAAATGCTGTGCTCCAAGGTAAGCTGAGTGAATTTGCTGAAAATAGAGAGCACTTGGTTTTAGTTTCTACTAGAGCCTTAAATACCCTTGAAGAGAGTCTCTTCTGATGCTTTCATCTAATGGGAGGCAGGTGATGCTGCTCACCTCCCATTGCCATGGAAACTAGGAAACTAGAGGAAACTACATACCATGTCCATGGTGCACTTGGATCATATGAGCAAATGTCTGTGTAATCACAGAGTTACAGGAGTTGGAAGGGACTTCAAGAGACCATTGAGTCCAACCCCCCTGCTAGCATAGGTACCCTACAATAGGTTGCACAGGTAGGCATCCAGCCAGGTCTTGAATATCTCCATAAAAGAAGACTCCACAACCTCCTTGGGCAATCTGTTCCAATGCTCCATCACCCTTACCATAAAGAAGTTCTGCATGTAACATCTAACTCTAGGCAGCGCCAGGGCTGTTCTCTGAGTATCTAATAAAGAATGATGACTTCTCCACTAGTACAATACTGGATCTGTTCACAAATGCACACTTTTGGGCTCTTCCTTGGGAGGAATGAATTTTGCATTCTTTGCCATGAGCTGTGTGTGTTCCTCAGTATCACAAAACCTGCCTTTATTTCCAACTAAACCCTTCCCAATAATCATTGAGACACATATGTTACCTTTTTGGTTTTATTGTTTGTTTGTTTTGTATGAACAGGACATATTTTATTTAAATCAATAAAATAGTAGCTATTACAATGCATGAAATCTTCACAGCAGTTCCTGCAATACAGAGAAATTTTGTCCTGTAAAATCTTTCTTCCACTTGCAGACCCAAGTTATAAATTAAATAAATAAGGAAACCATAAATACACATGTCAAGATACAGCAAGTGTGACATAGAAACATCAATTATTTCTTCTCCATCATTGTACTACTTAACGCTATTAATTAACAGGATGAACTACTAAGATACAGTTCTCAGCAGACAAAACTCTTGCTGCCCTGGACTATGCTCTTCAGGTCACGTTAGCTACATGGGCAGGTATCACGAATGCTTAATCTTAACTATCCCAAATACAGCGAATGGGCACTTCCCTCTGTCTGCTTTTTAGTTTTGCTTTGCTTGGGGAATGAGACCAGTTATTACCATCTTCCTTACTCCTTGTCTATAGTGTCTATAGTGCTGTGCAAGTGAATAGTCCCACTGAATTTACTCAGCTTACCTGTTCACATTAAAAATAGTAGGTGCCTACAGGCTGCTGACAGGATTTCAGGTTGATATTTATAAAAGACATTTCAGGAAAATCTTGGGGTGGCTGCAGCGCTGTTCAGCTGTGGAGGGCTTGATGTTGGCAGGGTTACACATTCCAGACTATTGCACAGGGGCAGTGGGTCGGGCTCCAAGGTAAAGGTGTGGTGAACCCCTGTGATGGGATAATTGTAGTTAAAGAGGAGCTGCGTGCTGCTCTGCTCCCAGGAGAATGCAAGGAAGCAGGAGAGGAGCTCATCGCTCTGGGCTGTCTCTGTCAGGCTGCTGGGCCAGAGCAGGACTTCTGCCTTTGGTAAGAAGAAGGGGAGAGGTGGTGTGCCTTCTAGCCATGGTGCTGTCTGATGGGCAGCTGACGTAGTTTATGAAAGCCTAATTCCTCACTCCTCTTGGCAACCTTTAGACTGAGAGACTGGAGCTGGCATGGTATGTTGTTAAACAAAGCCTTCTTGCCTGTCCCAGTACCTTTTCCAGCATATGCCTGCTGGGTGTGTGTGCTCTCTAAGGCAACCTGGGTACCAGACTGCTGCAGTTGCATTCACATCACACAGACTTTGCTTTCTTAGGTTATCAAGCTGTGAACCTTTCCTGTGCACCTCTCCCCACTACACAGAATAAAGCCAATGGACCTGGTTGCTTTTGCAGCCTTTTCTTCCTGCCCAGGCTGCAACCTCTGGTTTGGTGGCCCCTGGCTGTGGATCCCTGTAAAAGTCTGTAGGCTTAGGCAAACCAAAATCCTGTGCACTAAGTGCAGGGGAGCACTCGTGGGACAAGTATTGTTCCTGACTAATATAATATTGTCTGTAGTACTGGTGAAATCGTTTTATATGATCTTCTTTTGAAAGAAAAAAAAAAACCACGGAACTGTAATCAGTAATTTCTAAATTAAAAAAAAAAGAAAAAAAAAGGATGAGATTGAAATTCTATTAAATCCACCAGTTCATAAACAAAGATCTCCTATGAGCAAATATTTCATATTTCATATGTAGTTGTTTAGTTGCATCATTTATGTATTTTCTACCATCATTTGTGCACTTTTAGAAATACTCGGTACCACACAGACAGTAAGTTGCTGATTTAGTATATGTGTTCTATGGAAGAATGTATTTGTTGAGGTTATTCAGTTCTCATAGTTTGATCTGGTAGGGCACTAAAACACCAATCTCTGGCCATGTAGATAAGTTTGGTAAGTGCAAACTTACTCAGTTCTGACTCACCCATTCTTTTAAAATTTTTCCATCTTTTACTCCTTGAAACATCAAAACTGAAGGAAAAATATGTTTAGCATATGTTGTTGATCCAAGCATATCGTGTTTTTTATCTCATATCTCTAAAGAGTGGATATGTGAAGGGGAAGGAGGACTAAAGTGGTACACAGTGAGCAAAGCCCTGGCACTTAGTGGCACTCAATAACAAAAAGAGAACTGCAACCTTACAGAAGAACACAAACATCTTGGTTGGCTTCTCTTGTGTGTCTGAGACGATTCAGACAGGATGCATACAATAGGTCAGCAATAGTTTCAGCATCGCTGAGTCGAGATGTGAATGTGGTGAGATATTTGGGATTCTAGTGTATTGTAACAAAGAAAGGCTGACACTTTGCATCATACTCACCGTTTTGACTTAATTAGCCTTTCTTTCTCCTACCATTCTGAGGCAGTGGCATCAAGTAATGAAAAGGATAGGGAGCTGTGCTGAGTCTGTTCCTTCATCAATCCTAGAGCACCTCGTCCTAGCTAAAGGAACTTTTGTCTTTTTGAGTGATGCTGAGACTTATCAGTCTGCCTCAAAGGCACTGTTTGTTGCCCCCAGGTACTCCGACTTCTTCTTGTGCTTCATCCACATCTTCCTCAGCAAGCTGGGTGTCCCATACAGGCTGCCTCCCGTCAGTGGCAGAGAAGCTTCTGCTCCTGGTGTCATGTTCAAGTCATACTCTGCCATCTTCCTCAAGCGCTGCCTACGGCTGGCAAATAAAGCACAGGAGGCTGGCATAAACCATTTATCTCCGTGGCTTGTGCCCATCTTTACAATCATCAACCACTGAAACACAATGGTTATCACTGTCCCTGTGACACTGTCGCAATGAGTTCAAATGTCACCCAGACCCACTCCTGAGTTAACTGTCTACTGATGAGATGCATTTACACTATGGTCAAACTGTCCCTTAATTACGTTTTAGAGAGAAAATGGCATGGACTCACTCTTCTGCAAGTGGGTGGTCATCCGTGCTTGATCCTATGAGAGCCGGCTTCGCTGTGATGGGGAGGGCTAGCGATGTCGGAGGCTGCTGGAGGGAAAAGCAACAGCACTGATGAGTGGAAAACCAGCATTAGTCTGAGGAAAGAGGCTGTTTTTTACAACAGTGAACAAATACTGTACATCTCTTAGCAGGAGAGCAAAGATTAGATCCTGACTGCTGTACCCTTGTCCACACAAACACTGTTTGCTCATGTGAATGGTCACCGCAGCTTCGACACAGTGCTTGTATGAGCATGAATTTCTCCTACCAGAATACAGTGGGAGCCTTGCAGAGATTTATATTCCTTATTTTTTATGCCCGGGTTCCTGAGGAACTGAGGCTTTCATACGGTTCTCTAGGGCTGGGCAGGAAGCAGCTTTCCCAGCCATCACCATTTCTTGAGCCGTAATGGACATTTCCCCTGAACTGGATACTTTTCGGTGTGCTCTGTAAGTATTTCAGGACTTCAAGATATTTGAAATCACTATTGCAAACATCCTTGGAAATTTGACCAGGATGATTGTTGTGAGGTGCAATTAGTTTAATTGCACAGAATGCTGTTAATTTTGACCATCCTACAATATTGAACAGCCATTTTCCTTGTGCATAGCCAGCTACAGGCTAGCTCATACATTGTAACCATCTGAAAGGGCATTTTAAGGCATAAACTTTCTATAGTTGGTCAGAAACTTTTCAGAAGACTATTTTCTGCTTGAAAATCTGTGTTTTGTTTTTAAATGAGGGCTTTTGAAAATTGTTTCTGTAAGGAAAAGAGGAGGGGAGGAAAATATTTTACTGAAGCTGAGTCATTCTGAGCCAAAACATTTTCTCATTACTAAAAAACAAATTTTCAGATTTTGTACAATGATTTTCCCATTGATGTTTTCAATTGGTCTGTTCATCTTTTCAGCATTACATTCTGCAGAGTATGAATTGTTTGATACTTCTCCATCCTAGAAATCCATGTTGTCCCAATTCATGTGATTCCCTGAGAAGCAAGAAGCTGATTCCTCCCAGGTCTTGCAGGTGGCTAGGCATGCAGCAAGGCAGCCTGCCTGCTCCCCCCCCACAGGGCAGCTGTCCTGCTCCCAGCTGTGCAGCCCCTGGCATCAGTCACCTTTCAAGGCTGTAAAGAAGTCGGGGAAACCTGCAAGTGCTGATGTAAACCAACACACCGTTACTGTCGGACGTGTTAACAGGTGTTAGGCTTTAAGATCCATCAGACAGTGGTATTTCACATTGCTATATTTACTTACCAAAGGTTTCCCATTTGACTGGTGATTACAAGGTTTGGATGTTTCTCGTTCAGTTATTCCCACTGTCAAACATAAGAAGCAGGGTATTATCAGTATATCAGTAAGTATCCCATTGGCACAGCTGGTATTAAAAGCATCCTTCCACGTACTTATGTCAAGCATGAAAACAGCCAAGATTCAGATTATAGTCCGACCAGATTTGATTATAGCCAAAGGTGCAAAAATTTTCTTTTTTTCTGATCATGTACTGTGATGTCAAAATGAGTGATATTGAAACTGCTTAGTAATTACAGAAAATCATTTAGCTGCCCCTAGACTTTTCAAATGAGACAAGGAACTGTGCTTAGACCAATTGGAAGCTCTCCCCTGCTGCTAACACTTAATGTATGTTGCATATGTATGTGTACACATATGTATGTATTGGACTCAATGTTCTTTAAGGTCTTTTCCAACCTCAGTGATTCTATGATTCTATGATTCTGTGTATGCACTTTTTTACATATGTATATATAAAGTGTGCACTGTGAAGCTCCTCACCAGGTTGTCCTGTGTAGGAGCAAGGGGTCATTCTCCTTTCTGAATTGATCCAAGCAGTCACAGACAGCAGGCTGTGTTACATCCAGCACATCACGGGGAGGGATTTTAACCTCTCTGTCTGCCTGTTGCTGAGCGGGAAATCTCTGCTGTCCTCAAGCCTGGAGGTTAACTTGCTGTCAGAGCGAGCACCCAGCCAAGAACTTATCCACGTGGAAATGTTCACTGCTATTCCTGCTAGTTGTGCCAAGGAAATAAATCAAGGAGGGATTCCAGACTTCTTCCCGTGGAGCCAAATTCTCCCACGTGGCTGTGGGACTGTGGATTGCTTTTTTTCTCCTCTTTTTTTCTATTCCTGGCCATTTTGAGTTGTCTGCTCTTTTTTAAAAATAGTATTCAAGTAAGAAAAGAGTGGGGATTTTCAGAAACACCAGGATTCACCAAGACAGACAATGCAATGAGACTCACATTTGCTGCTACCAATGGAGTATAAACAATGACTGGAAGCATGAGAAATAATAAAGATGATGCTTATAGCACTGTCCCCAGCATGACTTAACAGTCACAATTGTCTTGTCCTTCCGGGGGCAATAGTTGACTGTGATAAACATCTTAGCTAACCTTTCTCCTCCCACTTTCCCCCACCAGTAATTCCATTAGGTACCTAATTCCATTAGGTACCGTATCCCTCACATCAAATTTTAATTCAATAGCTTCCTCTCATCTTGTGTATTGGGTACTAACAGTATTCAGAAAGTGGCTCCAGGCATCAGTGCTCCAGCTTTTTGTTTATTTGTTTTATATTATCTGATTCTTCCCCTCAGCATTTCATTTTTATTAGACCCAGAAAAATGTCCTGGCCAAGTTTTGCAAAATATTTAAGCAAAAGTAAAGCCTTGTGGCTTCTGTTTGGTAAGTGCTCATCAGGACAGTGGTGGCGGGGTGCATTGTGAATGCCACTTCCAGAAGGTGCTATGGAAAGCCAAAGCACGGGACGAGGGATTTCCACCACTTCTACTCTGACTTTGCTCTATATTTCCAAGATGAGCACCGGTACAAAACAGAGTGTTTTTTCCCTGTAAAACAAATGCATGTAAACACATATGTAATTATTTAATCAATAACCATGTGAAGTAAAGCACAGCTTTGGGTCCTGTAAGGAGTTTATTGTTCTGGCCTTCTACTCTTGGCTTCCTGCATGCTAGAATAGAGTGTCCTTCTGCTTTTATTTTTGTATGTTGTTACTAATGCTAGCAACAAGCATGCTGGTGTTCTCATCTGTGCTGTTTGCACATTTCTCACTTACCGTGAAAAACTGTTCACTCTATTACCCAGATATCAATTTGTACTTCACTAAGTCTGAAGTCTCCTTATATTCAATACTCTCTATTTTGGGACCAGAAGCCATCTTTCCACAGACATTCTGCCTCATCCAGTGCATCGTACAGTGTTCACTCAGAAAGTAGCTAGTTATCCTTGGCCTTTTTCATTGCTCAACACACAGTCCTATACCTTGTTTCTCCACTAGTGAATCTCCAAGGGCAGGACAAGTAATATTTTCATGGGCTTTTCTGTATTGCAGGCCATTGTGGCCATCATCTTCACCAGTATTAAAACAAACAAACATACAAACAACCACAGAGAACTGTTTTGTAGCCTCCTGGAGGATAAAAGGTTGTAGTTGGGGAAACAGAATACTGAGTTTAAGGTTAGAAATTCCCAGGATGAAGCTTTCAGAAGACTACTGTGGGATGCAGCCCTTCTTCCACACAGTTTTTGTGGCAGCTAGAAATGAGTGCTTCTGGGTGTCACAATCTGAATTGTGAAATGGGCACCCAGAAAAAAGGATATGTCAGCTGTACCAGCTGTATGTGCATCACTGGGGATGGTGACGGACAGAGCTTAAGGAGCTAGTACAGGAACCTGGAGATTCACTGCTGAGTTCCCTGAGTACCTTCTGGGCCAGGATCCTACAACTAACTACAGTATGCTACACACACTTAGGGAGACCTGGAGGAGCTCTCGTGCCTTGAGCTCCTGATGAAATTGTCTTATCCCATGCTCCTTGCTTCCTTCTTCCACTCCTCCAGCAAACCTCTTTGCCTCCCTTTTGTTCTCAGATCTCTTTTGCTGAACACAGTCTAACTTATTTTCAGATTCTTCCCATTTCATGTTTGGTATCCCAGTTTCTTTGCCCAGTCACAACTTTCTCCTATTATGAGAACTGTTTCCTTAATTTTTCACTTTTATTTTTTGATCCCTCCATCCTTTCTCCCATTGGTGCCTATCTGTCACCTATTCCCCGTTGCTTCCCCTCACAACAGACAACTTCTTCCTCCCTCGGTACCTCTCTGCCACCTGCTGCTCCTCAGGCACTCCTTCTCCACCCCCACCCTCTCTCCCCTCACCCCAGGTTGTTGTTCAGTCACATTTAGGCTCTGTTCCTGGTTTCAAATCTTTCTCCATGGTTCCAAACTCAGTTTGTTCCTTCGCAGTCATGCAGGCCCTGCTCATGTCTACTCTGTTCAGAGCAAGTGCCTTACAAGCATGGTGGATGCTTATCTGTGGTGTGAAGACTGTGCTCATTCATGGTAGAATCTGTTCTACACATTTAGCAACTTTTAACAGACAAACCAAACTTCCTATATCTCTACCGAACACATGCTATATGGGATTTTTCAAAGATTTATGGTTTAATTGCAGCTGGGTGGTTTTTCATGGGAGAAAAAAAGGTGTGGTTTTGATTAAAAGACCATCCCATGCCAAACTCCATGTCCTTGCTTGAGTTTCTCCTTCCAAGCATAACACATCAGCTTTGAGCATACTGAACAAGCAGCCTGTGTTTGTTCATTTCCTTGTTTTTGCATTGGCAAATCCTATTTTTTCTTTCACAGGTTCTCACAGATATGATGAACAAGTTTTGGTTGAAAAAACCAAATCATGTCTGTGGCTGACATCCAGAATCTAAAAATTCATCTCAAATAATTATGTTCTGGCAAATTTTAAGTATCTGATCAGGAATCTTAAATAAAAAGATGAGTCAGGCAAGCCCAGTTATAAGCAGTCTATCATCTCTACAATACTGTCAGCTCTTAGAAAGGGAGAGTTTATGCATTTGAATAAAGCAAGCACTGCTTTATTAGCTTGCTTTTGCAGGCAGCAGGGCTCTGCAATGCCATGGTCTTAAATTCCACTGAGCGTTTTAAGCATGGAAATATTTTTCTATACGTAACAAGTCTGCTTTGATGCAGACCAGAAGACTGCAATATCTAAAATTGTTCTGAAGCAGTGCAGACCGCAAAGCCATCACTGAGGACTTACCGTGCTTGGGGCTGCAGGGTCCCTGCTGCCCACCCTGGCCCAAGCTGTGCACCTCTTCTTCTCTGTAGAGCACCTGGAAGAGGTCGCCGTGGTGGGGCTGCAGCTTGTCTGGCCGGTGGGGGCGACAGTCAGACACTGCTACCACCTGTGGTGAAGATGCAAAACCATCTTGTTACAGCTGGCCAGGGAGCAGGCCGCAAGCTGTCATTGTTAAAGGCACCTGGAGTCAACCCGGGTGAGAGCAGTGCAACACTTGTTCTTCTGATTGCTTTCCAGTCACTTGAGGGGAGTTTGTTGCTTGGGATTCATTGGGTGCACGTATGTCAACATTAGGCTCTGTGTAACTTGAACAGCATTCCTGAAAATGAGTCTGAACAAAATCAGATACTTTTCTACGTTGTTGAGTGCAGTGCCCCAGGTAATGAATGGGGGAGGCTGGAGCTAACGTGATCGTAAGGAAAACAGGGTAGTCACCAAGCAGATGGACCCACTGGTGACTGTTATCCAAGATGGTCCACAAACAACTTTCTCGAGAAGATTAAAGTCCTTAAATCAGTGAAAGAGAGGTTTAAGCTTTGTTTCTTACATCCTTCCCTGAAGACCTGCTGCTGTCATTCAGAGAAGTTAAAGGAAGCAAAGATCCAAAGCTGTGAGGAAACAAGATGCATGGCAAACCTTCAGACTGGTATCAGATGTGCACCTGCTGACTGATAGTTGCCCTATACCTGTTTTATGTATAAATACAGTTATTTTGTTTTTATGACGACTTAGACCAGCAAATTTACCAGCTTGCTACTGACAAGGAGCAGAAGGCCTTGTTCCATCTACTGGTCTGCCTTCTAATATTCACTCGAGATAAAAACAAAACTGCATTCCGCTATGTCACCTTGCGTTCATAAAATTGTTCATTTTCTTCAAATAAGTTTGAATTCAGTTTACTATCAATGTGCCACATTCTGTGCATGATTTTCCAGGCAGATTTAAAAACTCATGCAAACAGATGTTTCCCAAAGTAGGAAAAAAAGCCCAAATCCGATGATATTTTACTTTTTTGATTCCACGTGTGCTTAGGAGCCTGGAAACCACCTATCTAGATCCCACCAACTGTCAGGACAAGGAGCAGGAAGGGCTCAACAGAAGGCAAAAATGCTGCTGAAAAGGTGTGGTGAGGTAACCAAAGCCTAATCTGAGCCCTAAGAGGGGTTTTCTTCCAGTTCGGCGAATCTTGGCACACAGCCTAACGCAGCGCTTTCTCTGTAAGCTACTTAAGGATGTGCCCAATGTTAAGTTAAAGGCAAAGGCACCGCTGATGTCCTTGAAGATGAACATGTGCGAGAGGTGGGCCCAGCTCTACTGACTGTGAATCTGGCGATGCTAGATAGGGCCAGGCTTCAGCCCTTCACTGGTCTTTCAGGAAGGAGGGGATGCTGGTGGTGGGAGGCCTGCAGGAGGCCAGGGAGGTGGCACCTGCACAAGCTCCCCATACAGCTCCTGTGCTGGGGTCTGGTCAGCAGCCCTCTGCATTGCCAAACCTTGTGAGCTGCTTAGCAGGGGCATCTCTCTGACACCACAGTGTCAGCAGTGGAGACACCTGTCCTCATTACAGGTATGGTGTGGCCATGACCAGAGGGGCGTTTTTCATGACGGCCCCACTGCCAGAAAGGCTGCCTGTGGAACCAAGCTCTTCTGGCTTTCAAGGAATGCTGCAAAGCTCAGCTTTCCCACCAACTCTGGAAACACATGCAGTACTTTTGCTCACACTCAATTTCCTTTGGCACATGATGGAAAAGTCTGCAGCCTTCTCCTAGCAAAATACAAGCTTTTGCTTGCATGGAAAGAGAATTTTTGGTAAGTAGGATGCTGGCAGCCGTATTCTCTATTCCTAAAAGTGCTTATTTGATTAGCATAAACCACTGATTTGAAACCTACCAATCTGCCTGTGCATTGCGAAGGATAACATTTAGTTTGAACTCTGTTACTTGCAGAATTATTTAGGCACATTATCTGTGTTTCTCCAGGTGTCTTGTTACATACCATTCACCTTCCAGCAAATTTCAATGCCATTTGCCATTACGGTCATGGACAGCAGCCCCATCTCCACAGCACATCTTCAGTTCACATTTCTGTTTGCAGCATTTGGCAGTAGTACACTTTGGGAGTTATTTATCTCCTAAGTCAAGACTTCACCGTGACTTTGACCACCTCACACATTACTATAATACATAAAGACTTATCTAGGTCAGGAATCTAAACCTGCTGCAGCACAGTTTTGATCTAAAGTAGAGCTGACATTTCTCTAGGGTACCTGGGGTGAGGCAGAAGGATCAGCGGGGAGTCACTTTTCTTTTCTAAATGTACCAGGAAATTCAAATCTTGTGTGAGTGGCAGAGTCATCCAAACTCTGCAGAATTAGAGAACTACTCTTAAAATAATTATCTGTTTAAATCTGTAAGTTGTTCATTCTGTTTGCAGGATGCTTATTCTGAATTCAGAGCTCAATGAAATATATTTTTATTTTCCAGTGCAGGACAGCGCAGAGGCTGCTCCAGCAACCCCATCAGCACTCCTGGAATCAAAGCCCCAGGAAGGTGACAATTAAACATCTCAATTTGGGTAAAACTGGGAAGCTTAGAGGCTGGACAGTGAGGTCATTTTCTTATTAATGGAGGAAATGTCAGATTTTTGGAGTTAGGCTCCTTCTGATGGGCTAATGCTAATCTCATTTTTAATGTGGCTGCACTGGGACCTGTAGAGGTATTTGCCAGTTTTCTGCAAAGCTTCCCTGTACTCGTGACAAAAGTGGTTTTAAAGTTCCAGCCATTGATTTGGAGGATAAGAGTGCAAGGAAATAAAAAGGAAGGATCTACTGGCGCTGGGAATAACTTTTTATAGGACAGTAGGAGCTGCAAATATCAATATTGGTGAAACAGTTTTTAAAAAGGTTTCCCCCTTTCACAGGCATGATTGTGCTCTTGGAATGGATTTTCAAATGTCATGGAAGTTACCTCCCAATGTCAGTCATTTGAATGTTAAATCACTTAATGCTACACCACTTGAGTATTTCTGTTGTGAAAAAAGCCTGGCAGATGTCCATGTTGCTAACTATTTCTGCCCTTCTCCAGGATTAAAGTCAAGTCCATTGCAGTCGCCAAAGCTCTCAAAGCAGAAGCTGAGGCATTTCTACAACACTGACTGCAGGTGCAAAAGTAAAAGTGAAAAATAAATAATCATTCTGCTACTCCAGTGATTTCTAGACCCACCAGTGTGGGTCTAGAAATTGGCAATCCCAATTTCCTTACAGGCATGTATATATTCCAGTATATGCAATTTATCTGAATGGTTGCACATTAGCTGCAAGCAGCTGTAAGCACTGAAAAAATAGAATGCACTCGGCAAAGAGTTGACTGTGCAAATTATGTTGGTTTGCAAGCCTTGTCTAGTTGGGTCTGCAAACCATTCCTTAGGCTTGGTGCTTCTGCTGCTAATAGGATGCTGTGTGCATCATGACTAAGGGCCAATCAAAGGATATCTGTAATTGAGGTCAGGAAAGCCCCAAAGGTAAAAAAAAATCACATCAAAATGCAGCAACAAAATGGGGACTTTCCTCTCTTATTTTCTTAGATCTTTGTGAGCATAGTGCTGCTACACTGATCCAACCCAATAAATATTACAGACTCCCACATGATGGAGAGAACTTTCTAAACATAACAGACCTATGGTTGTCCTAGCTTTTGATGAGAGCTAGCTGAGCTAGCTGAAGAATTTCCACCTGAACAGGATTATGAGAAAGTTCTGATTAGAAATCTGGTCATTTGGTTGTAAAAGTACTTTTTTTCTTTATAAAAATTTTTAAAAAAAAAGTTGGGGAGGGGGGAGGGAAAGAAGTCCTTATCTAAGCATTCTGTTTTATTTAGTCGTAATTGTTCTTTTTTTCTTTTGCATTCTTATGCTATTTTTACATTACGTGACAAAACATATTGAGGACATAGCAAATAAAAAAGGAGTATCTCAAAGTGGCTTATTTTGAGCATCACAAAGACATTAAATTTTGTCCTCTTTTGGGATGAAGAGTCATGTTGAAACCTCTGCTTGAGTGATGAAAATAAGATTCTCACAAACCGAGAAAATACATACATGTATGTTTTTCACTCAAACACCAGAGGTCTGTTACTGATTCTTCCGAGGTGCACTTGAGGCATTCTGAATTATCCTGTGATTTGCTTTGTTACCCAGGAGATGGGATTGAATATGGTAAGGTTTTTCCCAGTGCGCAGGTAAGTGTGATAAGCAGAGGGACCTACTGTGCCAAAGGGAGATTAGGGAATCTGGACTGTGAAGAGGAGTGTGTCTACAAATGGGGATCAGGCAGGGAATCAGAGCATGGGAAGAGGAAAGACCATGGAACAAAGTATTTCAACAAAGTGCTGGAGAACTGCCTGTGTCTGTAGGGAGAATACTTTGACAGAAGGGTCTTTCTGAAAGGTTTAAGAATTCTTGGAGAGGTGCATGGAGGTCTAAGAGGTATAAGAGTGCTTTGAGGTTATGAACGTGCAAGAAGTGTGGCTATCATACCTGTAAGATAGAGCTGTGATAAAAGGATCGTGGAATGAGTTGTATGTAGGCTAAATGCATTTAAGGAGGAAAAAATGGCTCTGAAGACAAGAAAACTTGAACTAAACTAACGTGTATGAATATCTAAACTTGGAGAATGTTTTCTCACTCTGTTCAGCTCTTTTTGTATTGCTGTTGTTGTCACATAATAATTATGCCCAGAAGATGTAATCAGGGGCAAAAAATATTTACAAACCTATTGGAAAGAAACATTCAGTGAAGGGAAAGTGGAGAAGAAAAAAGCTGGGATTGCATGGCAGAGGGCTGCAGGAAACGTTCAGCTGGTTTCCTTTCTTAGGCAGGAGTGAGCACTGTGCTGAGTGGTGGGTTGGAGAGACAGGAGAGGACCATATGCAGCTGCATGTTGCTGAGCTGCATAGGTGCCAGGTTATCCCTGTGCCACCAGGATCAAGGGGCAAGAATCCTCCTGTTGCTCTCTCAGAGCCATTTCTCTGGGAGGAGATTACAGCTCATTGCTTGCTGTTTTCCTCCCATATTCCCTGGGAAATGTGGTACTGGCTCCTTGATTGCATGTGCATTGCTACAATTTGCTTGCTGTCCCTCTGGCAGTGTTATTAGTGCTTTGTGGATAAGAATTAAGTCTGTGAGTCCCTCAGATGACCCGTGTTGATAAGCTATGTTCATTTTTACTAGCTCTGCACAAAGACCTTATTTTTTTAAGAGTTTCAAAGCGCTCGTGTGATAATCTGTAAGTACAGACTGAATCATCTGTAGCTGTACAGGAACTGCCCTTTCTGTTTCTCACCCCACTCCCTACACCAGATGCTGCAGCGTTTCTTTGCCCTGAAAGATCTGCTTCCCATTTCTCCATAGCATTTTGAAGGATAAGCTTAACCAACTAGAAAGAAAACAAAAGAGTGGGAGGGAAATTTTTCTTACGCTCTTTGTCAGGATGTGATGCGCGCTTTTGGCTCTCCTTCGGGCAGGACTACATGCTGTGAAAAGAACAACAGAAACATGGTCAGGGTTGGGCAGAAGTGGACAAACTCAAATAGCAACCAGAGCAGTGTCCATTGAAGGTAATGGGGAAGATCTTGCTGGTTTGTGGTGCTGGAAGACCAGTAGCAGGCTTTCCTGTCCTGCTGCAGGAGGGAATACAATGGGGAAGAGCCTTCAGAGAGGATCCTGGTGTCAGGCACTTGCTGGAGGCCCTGCACATGAGCCTGCTGGCTCTTCTGTTAGCTCCCATGAAGCCTGTGCTGGGTGGCAGAGAAAAGGTGAGGGCTGGAGACAGCTAGTGTGGGATAAATAATTGCTATTAAAAAAAACCAAGATACATTTCAGTATTTTTAAGCTGTTTCTCATTACTTTGAGATGCTGTAGCTGTGCTATAGTGGTAAGATTATGTCAAGTATGTCTCTGAAATGCTTCCATGGGGATTTATTGAGGGCGTGGTGGGAAGAAAGGAAGGATTTAAGGGAAATTCGAGCTGAAACAACCCAAAAGAAAGTCTTTTTCTTAATGTTACTTCAGAAATGATCTTCTGGCTATACAATAGACATTTGTGGGCATGGGGAAAGAGCCTTCCTGAAGTTCCTGTGCTTCTCCTATGGGTGTCCAGGAGGAATCTGCCATTTCCTACCTGAGGCTGTGACCGTGCCTCCTGCCTGATGGATGGGAGTCTTTGGTGGAAAGCTTCTCTTCCATCCAGTCAGCTTAGACCATGACTTGTACCTGCATTAACTTTGGAGAGACCAACCACTGTATCTAGATACAGACTTCCAGTAATATCAGACTGCTTCATTGTGTTATTCCAGATTGCTGCACTGTGTCCAAGGCACAACACACTTCATCCACTCCTTTTTTTCACTTGTCAGAATATCCCATTCACTTCATTAACTTTATGAGGCATTTTCCTTGAAGCTTTTTCTCAACTTTATTTCTTAAATCCATGAAGACACCAAAATCCCAGGCAAAACAGAAAGACTAGCTACAAGACACATGAGATACCTGGATCATAAGCCAGGTTTTTGACTGGACATTGCATTCAGACTGAAGTGATTGGTTTTGGATGATCATTTTTGGACACAGCAAGGGCTGATTAAACATTCTTCCAGTTTGACTTGAAAATTATTCTCCCAGCTCTCATTATATCTTACTCTTTGCGCTTTAAAATTAATTACCCTTCCTGTATGCAGAATACAGGTGTTATGACTATGGGATTTAGCAGCTGGTTACAAAAAACAACCTGCAAAAAAACCTACAAAATTTAGTTGTGTTTAATTCCAATTCTAAATGCTGACCCCGAGGGCAAGGCGTGTGAAGGGAGGCTTCCCTTTCAGGCTGTATTTATAGCCCACAGGCACTGAAGAGTCAGGAAAATGACTGTTGCTCTCTAAGTGAGTTTTCCTTTACATTTTTGGGATCCAGGAGCTGCCATGCTTAGTACTGCCATGCGTTAATATCTGTGAAGACTTTTGGAAATGTGGAAACAGCTGGATAGACTGAAGCTTCTCATTACTGCAGCTGCAGTGAAGCTGCAGAGAATTCCTGCCTTGAGATCTGAAGTTCTGAAGGACCTAGGTCTGCTGATCCTGCTATTCCTGCTACCTCTGGGGCATGGATGAGTGGTGGCAGTGGTGGCCTCCCCCATGCTAAGTACTGCTGCCCATGTCACAGCCTCTGTAATGGTGTGAAGAACAACTTCAGATGCCACAGTGAGGATGCAAGTACTGAGCAGTAGGACCCCATCAGACAGAAACAGAGTCTTGGCCAAGCTCTGCCGGTGAAGCAGGAAGTAACAGGAGGTGCCAGGTCTTGTCCAAGTCTCCTGCTGAAGTACAGTGTTTCCACACGTATCACAAGTGAGTTATTTGCCCTCACAAAGCTAGAGAATGTGCTAAGCTGTCAGCTTGATCGCAGTCTGCTCTGGGAGGTGACTCAAGGATCCTCAAGGATCCCCAGTGCCTTCTCCTGCATGAGCAGTTTTATATTTTAGAGCACTGCAAGTGTGGGGTTAAAACCATACAAACACGATGAAAGTTGTTTTCTGCAAATGTGTTCTATCTTGCTTTTGAAGCTGCCACAATGACTTTACTGGTGGTATTGCACTGTGTGCAGGCTAATATCACTAATTGTTCACGAGCACTTTAATTAAATCCAAGTGTAGAAAAGTTCAGTGACACAAAGGATCATCTTAATGATTTATGTATTTTACTGGTTAACGCGTGGAGCTCAGTTTCTGCATATTGTTACCAAAAGCAAGTGCTGTTGTGCTGCTATTGGCACCCAGGCTGGTGCACGACAAACTGTATATTAATGTGCCTAATGGCAATAAATGTTCATCTTTTCAGAGTACATACAATCCACAGACTGACTCACAGCTTGTCATCCACCAGCGTACGTGGTGAATGGCTTACATGGGCTGAAGAAAGGGAAGGCATCAAAGGGAAGTCACAGCACCAGCAAACACGCAATTACTTGAATAGCCATTGAAAGAAGAGTGAATCGCGGAGGTAGATGTAAGTGACCCACTTGCACAGGAATACAAAGGCAACAATGAAATCAGTGGGGTTGCAGGGCTCTCCCTGCAAACATGATTTTTCTGCAGGGAGTGGGAAGGCAAGGCTGAATTCTTGCAGATGCTGTTTCTGGATTTGCCTGCAAGAGGCTGTTTGTGTGTGCAGTCCAGATTTCAGGCAACAAAAACGATTACGGTGAGGGTTCACTTTGTCATTTCCACTTATATTCTGAAATTAAGCAGCTGAGAGTGCAGGCTTGCAGCTTGCAAGAAGAGATCTGATCTGCCCCCACAATTTGTTTTCCCTGCTTTTACCTGCTTTCTTCTTGTTGCTGAAATACGCAGCTATTGAGTTTAAACTAATTTGCTCAATCAAATGCAGACCGGACTTTGTCCGGTTCTTACTCTTCATTACAAGCAATTAATGTTAATCATGCATTCATTTTGAGGGCATGGCTTTGGAAATGTTCCACTTACTGAGCCAGCAGACTTAAATTCCACATTCATGCGGTTCACCCAGTTCATCCGAGCTGCTAACTGCTCCCAGAACTTCATTTTCTTTTCTATCACATAGAATAGCCACGCAGTTGCAAGCTGTCACTTTAGCAATTACCTCATAGGTGTGCGAACGCTGATTCCAAATCTCCCAGTTTTGTCTGTGCAAAGATTTTGCACAGCCACAATGTGGAGGCACCTGCACGGCTCAGCTCCAGCGAGAAGCAGGGAGCGCCGAGCTGGCAGCACAACGCAGCACAGAGAGCAGACAGATGAGCTGCTCCTTTAAAGGTTTCGCTAAGGATAACGCGCCCCGTCCATCCAAAAGACAACACCATCCCCGTTATTGCAGTTCTGATGTACTCACATTTGGATGAAATCACGGTGGTGAAAACTTCTAAATTTTCGTCGCTGCAGCTGTAAATCTGGTGCATTTTCCACCTCTCTCTCCTGACTGCCTTTCAGCTTCACGCAACTGCTCTGAACTTCTGGTAAATAGGTTTCACTAATCCAATCTGGCTCTGTGATCATTGTCCAGATCTACAAAGGACAGACTGATGCTGTGATCTCATCTCATTCCATATTCTTCATCGCAACATTTTCTGCTCCCATCTGCCTTTGTATGAATACTGTGAATGCAAAGATTTAATTTAGCTGTTACTTAAATCTCTGCCCAGATAGGAACATTTTGTCCTTTTACGGGTTTGGAGAATCCTCTGCAATAAACGGCTAATAACAAAGTCTGCTCTGTGCAGCCAGTGTATGGCAAGGAGACTTTATAGCAGTGCTGCAAGGAATTTTAAAACAAGTTGGGATACATTTGGTATAGTTCAACACATTTAGCATGAAATGTGGCTATTCCTATGTAATGAGGACTTGATTCTGTGTGTATTAAGGAAGGTGTTTTGTGCTCCACCTATAAGTTCATAAACTTGTACCTAAATACTGGGCATGTCAGTGTTAAATTTCAAACACAGATGTCTAAAGGAGGGCACATCAGGCAGGCATCCATAGGGCTGCACGAACATCCCTTGTGCTTTAATAGTTCTGGAGAGATGGCAGGTGGCCCAGTCATGGACTGGTTCCTATATAACTTGAAGGATTTGGGCCTCGTTCTACATTTATGCACTTCTAGAGGGGCTCCTGTCCAAGGGTTTCAAGTGCATTCCCTCATGCTGTCATCAGAAATTGTCCTTTTCCACATCTGTGGAAATGAGTCCCTTCAAGCTCTGCTGGCTTACTGCTGCCATGGGCATCTGAGCTCCAACATGTTGGCTTGCAGGCTTCGGCAACAGATGTAGCAGAAACACTTTTCAAGTGCTAACAATGATATTAAATTATATCAGCCCAATGAATAGCCATCATTACGAGCATGTGTGTGTAATTAGCACAAAAACCAGTGCTGTCTTCTCCCATAGAAGACTGCCACCAAGTCCCAGATGGACCGTGCCAGCAGACATGTGCTGTCACTGACATGTTTGTGTCATGTTTCTTTGAACAAATAAATATTGGTCAAATACGCATACTGAGCCTAGAAGTATTTTTCTTTCTTTTGGTTCTGTGGAAAGCGTCACTGTTTCAAGAAATAACTGACTGAAGAGAGGCTGCTATCACTTGTTACATCGCAGGGCAGCCTCCTGCTGTCCAAGGGCAGGAAATCTATTGCGGGGCCAGGGCATTGTTCCAGGAAGCCATGCAGTGCGTAGAATGGGCAGTGGGACAGCAATATAATCAAGCAAAAGTTCAATTAGTTTTTGATTTATTGTGCCACATGTTCTGCTTGTATGACTGATGTCATTAACATCAGGCTTGGCTGCCGTGTTCATCTGTCTCTGCCCAGCTCCCCAAACGTGCACGTGCTCAACAGATGGGGAGTTTCATGGGCTTGAATGGAATTGCTTATGCCACTATTGTTCTTGTGTCAAGCAATCAAACCAAATCCATTACCCACCAATAAAAAGATCAGCGCACCGTCCATTCAGTGGTGAATAGAGCAGAGGCGGTTATGCAGGGAGGATTTAATGCTTTAAAAAGGATAAAAAAAATAATGAAGAGCAACACTGAATAGTAGGAGGGAAAAAAAAAAAAAGTATAACACATCTAACCCTCCCCTTATCACACCTTTGGCTATTCAGACTTCTTATAAGAAGTACTCTGGATCTGGGTCATTCCTTTTCTGGTTGTAGGTATGATCTAGGGATAATTTTAAACCTCAGCTAGGGGTTAGCGTTAGAACCAGTGTTCAGCATTTCATTATGTTGAGGGGTGGCATGGATGTGGAAATTGAAGTGAGATTTAAGAGTAAAAATCTGGTCACTGCTTTACAGGCTAGGGTTTGAATAGGTAGCTTTGAACAACTGCCTCTGCAAGGGTGCTCTTGCTCTGGGAATAAGTCTGTACAGAGGGCTGAGAAAAGGTGCTTACAGCCCTTCCATACAGAAAACAGGACTGTGGAGGGCCAACATACTGCGTGTTTCATCTGAGATCATCACCTGGGAATGGATTTTCCTTATTTATGAAATGGAGCTGGGCATTTCATTCTGCCCAACAGGTAGTCAAGCAAGTGAATGCCTTGGGTTTTGCAGGATATCTTAATGTGTCATCAAGAAAAGGACCACAGCGCATCCTGAGTGACATTCTTCTAGCTCTTTGGGGATTATTCTGGACAAATTATCTTGGTTCATACAGCTGCAACAGACAAAATCTTTTGAAGAATAGCATGGCAGTAATTTAGACTTGGAGAAGACACCCATAACCCCAGTGTCCAACCTAAGAAGTGCATGTAGACTTACATCAGACAATTTCACACTACCTCCCTTTAACTCCTGGTGGACTTAGAAAGAGCTCAGTCTGTAGTGGGAGCAGAAAACCAAATGTGCCTACTGATTCTGTAGATCCTTTTTCTTTATCTCATTGACTTATATAAAATATCTAGAAACTAGGCTAAAATTTAGTTTCGCATTTGAGTGTCTCTCTGACTGAAGACTCCCATGCTGGCATTTGGAATCCAAGTGGTTCAAATTCCTGACTGTGGGCTGTGGTACATCTCTGTTTACCAAATACCTCAAATCCCAGCATTGTCAGCTCATGACAAAAACGTGCTGGTGGAAGAACCTGGTGACCAAAGGTGAGTGAGGACAACTGAAGAGGAGGAGGAGGAAGACACCTCAGGACATATCAACAGACATATGGCATCTGCCTAAACATCCACCTTACCTAATCTGCAGTCCTGAAACAGGGAAGGCATTTGATATTAGGATGTGGGCAAAAAGGAGGGCGCTGTCGGTAAGTCGAAGAGCCATGTGCTGAGGCAGAAACAATTAGTAATAACAACGTAAGCAGAAAATCCCATGGTGACACAGACGGTGTTGAAATGTCATGCTGGGGAAGCAGAAGGGTGCTTCTCCCAAGGACTGGATCTATTCAGGCACATCTAGAAGAAACAAGTGTAGATGCTTCTCCTGTTCACCAAGTTTGCTGTAGCTGGAAAACTTCAAACTAATAGAACAAAACTAATTTTTAATTAAAGTCACCAAAAAATTAATTAAAACTTGGAGTGATTTAAGACAAGTATTGAAACCTCTAGGCCTTACTTACACAGGCCTCTGAAAACAAACGAATGCCTTTCTAATACAGTACCTTTCCAGGGGAGCCAATGGGAAGCATCCCTGTATTTTCAGCATACACGGCACTGCCAAGGGATTCCCTGGCTGGCGGAGGACAGAGCTCTCCCCAGGTCAGGTCCCAGGGCTCCTGCTGGATCTTAGACCCTCTTGCGTAAGAGGCGAATCTAATCCGTACTGAGCCACTTGAGCCTATTTCTTACCGTTAGCTGGGCAATATGATAAGGACAAACCGCAGGTATTTTTGGAGTAGGATTGTGAAGGCAAAGGTATGCACAGTTAACCATTTAAAAATAAGATGGGATAATACTACACATGCCTGCTGCTGACGCTTACCCTAAAACACTTCTGCGTGATGCGGTGCACGCAGTAGATTCTGTGGCAAGAAAATAGCTTTGTTTGATCTTAAAGCCACAGAATCGCAACTGACAATGACAGAAAAGTAGAACCAACAGCAAGAGCACAATGTGAAGTTATTTTGTCATGCATAGCCTGCTATTTCCCTGTGAGTGAACGGAAAAGAGAGATGGCTTTGCTACCCACAGTTTCAGCTAAATCTTACCGCACTGTGCAAAACTAGTTCCAAATCAGGGTGTTGCTGTACATCTGAATGGTCTGCAGGTAACCGAAGAATTTTCAGAAGTAACATTTCCTTTTGCTGGCAGCTGCTAATGGCTGATTTTGTCCAGATGGGAATAAGAAGACTGGGGCGCTAACAAAACATTGTGAGCTTTACATTCACTACAGGGGATGAGGAAAGATGTCAATGTCTGCAATTTGAAAGGGCTGATGCATGGATACCTCCTCTGGTAACCAGGAAAGGAAAGAGCAACCAGACCTGGAAGCGGGCTGAAAGCATCCCCACTAGTTACAGAAAGATACTGCAGGATCCTGAGGAAACAACAACAAAACAGCCTGCTTGGTGCCTCCTGAAAAAGTTACATCCAGATAATTGGACATTCACAAATTTGCCCTAAGCTTGTAAAACACACTTGAGTAAGCCCATACAATGATTTGTAAGGAGCACAATGCCCAGCCCTGAAAAGTTCAAGTCTTGTGTAGCTTGTGCCAGCAGCAGGATTGCATTGAGCTAGCATTAATGCCAGGGCCAATGCTGTGTATCCCAGCTGACATGTGGAAGCTTACAAGCGTTCATATGCTGGTCTGGTGTAATCCACAGAAAGAATTAAAAATGCCACCAAACGAGGGATATGTTCAAATCAGGCTGTGATAACAGTTTATTAAGATGCTGAACTTCATTTCTATTCGTCCTTGATTTTTCAAGCTATTTTATCAACATTCTTTATTCCCTGATAAGGCACTATAAGGCACTATTCTTGGATGGGGCTTGTTCACTCCCATGTTTTCTCTTTCAAACATTTTAAGATTATTTTGACTACTGGCCCCTGATAAGAATATAGCCATATCTGGACAAACACACACCTTAATTAAAGCTTGTCACACAGTTTCGGGATTTGAGCAGTGGGAGCTCTCTTGCTACAACTGCAGAAAGTATCTCACATCCCACACTGCTTGGATAATTATGCAAAAACTGCTTGGGATTCCCCCCATGAATAAGTCCAAAAGAGTGAGGCAGCATGAACTGCCTCCTTATTTGTATCTACTGTGCCCTCATGAGCCGTCTGGCTTTTTCTGCTGTGTGTGTCACACATGCTCTGTGGGATGAAGGTCTTTGGTGTATATTGGATTGCAATCCCATCTCTAGAAGTTCCGTGTGAAAATGAGATTCGATTTAAAATGAGGAACATCACTGTGGGAACTAGAAAACAGGAATAGGAAATGCAAGGGGC